CCCTCTAACAAGAAATTTGTTTTGCATGCACACGTATAAAAATTGCGGTTTTTATCCAACGACGCAATCATAGGTTTGAACGTTGTTTTCAATTTAGACTTGTTTATATTTTTCGTTTGGGCTTGTATTATATTTGCCTTCGGGTTTATATGGTCCGTTCAGCCAATTTTGACTCCTCAAAATTCAAGAGTCTATCCCAAATTGAGGTAAATTGTATGGCTTTCCAAAAACCGTTTCGATTCCTAACATCACTGAAGAGACATCAATTGTCGAAATCCGGATATGTGTACAAAAACATTGCACCTTTTTTTTGCGGTAAAACATCTTTTCCGCAAGTTTATTGTTTTCTGTTTAGTATTAAATTGATCATTAAGATCCAATTATTACATCGGTGATCCGTTTATTTGGCAATCGCCAATGGCAGTAAGCAGGGTTTAAGAACATTTGTTGTTCGACCTGTTAGGCAAATGCGTTTTATTAAAATATACTTTTTCACTTTTTTGGTCTTTTGGAAAATGTTGTTTGTGCTGTATTAAGACCCCTCTAACAACAAATTTGATTTTGCATGCACACGTATAAAAATTGCGGTTTTTATCCAACGCAATCATAGGTTTGATCGTTGTTTTCAATTTAGACTTGTTTATATTTTTTCGTTTGGGCTTGTATTATATTTGTCTTCGGGTTTATATGGTCCGTTCAGCCAATTTTGACTCCTCAAAATTCAAGAGGCTATCCCAAATTGAGATAAATTGTATGAATTTCCAAAAACCGTTTCGATTCCTAACATCACTGAAGAGACATCAATTGTCGAAATCCGGATATGTGTACAAAAACATTTGCACCTTTTTTTTTGCGGTATACCATCTTTTCCGCAAGTTTATTGTTTTCTGTTTAGTATTAAATTTATAATTAAGATCCATTTATTACATCGGTGATAAACTTATTTGGCAATCGCCAACGGCAGTCAGCAGGGTTAAAGAACATTTGTTGTTCGACCTGTTAGTCAAATGCATTTTGTTAAAATATACTTTTTCACTTTTTTGGTCTTTTGGAAAATGTTGTTTGTGCTGTATTTAGACCCCTCTAACAAGAAATTTGTTTTGCATGCACACGTATAAAAATTGCGGTTTTTATCCAACGCAATCATAGGTTTGAACGTTGTTTTCAATTTAGGCTTGTTTATATTTTTTCGTTTGGGCTTGTATTATATTTGCCTTAGGGTTTATATGATCCGTTCATCCTATTTTGACTCTTCAAAATTCAAGAGTCTATCCTAAATTGAGGTAAATTGTTGGGCTTTCAAAATATCGTTTCGATTCCTAACATCACTGAAGAGACATTGTTTGTTGAAATCCGGATATGGTGTACAAAAACCTTTGCACCTTTTGTTTGCGGTATATCATATTTTCCGCAAGTTTATTGTTTTCTGTTTAGTATCAAATTTATAATCATGATCCATTTATTACATCGGTGATCCGTTTATTTGGCAATCGTCAATGGCAGTCAGCAGGGTTTAAGAACATTTGTTGTTCGACCTGTTAGTCAAATGCGTTTTGTTAAAATATACTTTTTCACTTTTTTGGACATTTTGAAAATGTTGTTTGTGCTGTATTTAGACCCCTCTAACAAGAAATTTGTTTTGCATGCACACGTATAAAAATTGCGGTTTTTATCCAACGCAATCATAGGTTTGAACGTTGTTTTCAATTTAGACTTGTTTATATTTTTCGTTTGGGCTTGTATCATATTTGACTCCGGGTTTATATGATCCGTTCATCCAATGTTGACTCTTCAAAATTCAAGAGTCTATCCCAAATTGAGGTAAATTGTATGGCTTTCCCAAAACCGTTTCGATTCCTAACATCACTGAAAAGACATTATTTGTCGAAATCCAGATATGGTGTACAAAAACATTTGCACCTTTTGTTTGCGGTATATCATCTTTTCTGCAAGTTTATTGTTTTCTGTTTAGTATTAAATTTAAAATTATGATCGATTTATTACATCGGTGATCTGTTTATTTGGCAATCGCCAATGGCAGTCAGCAGGGTTTAAGAACATTTGTTGTTCGACCTGTTAGTCAAATGCGTTTTGTTAAAATATACTGTTTCACTTTTTGGTGAAAATGTTGTTTGTGCTGTATTTAGACCCCTCTAAGATGAAATTTGTTTTGCATGCACACGTATAAAAATTGCGGTTTTTATCCAACGCAATCATAGGTTTGAACGTTGTTTTCGATTAAGACTTGTATATATATATATATATATATATATATATATGTTGTGTACAAATTGTAATGTTGTACAAATTATAATTTGTACAGAGTTTTTGTACAAGTTATTAGTGTTTTATGAACCGCTTAACACTAATGGATGATGCAAGCACACAGTCTTTTGTTTCGCATATTTCTGTCATATTTCCATGACTACATGATACAGGTTAATACTGAGCATTGATAAAAAACATTAGAAGAACACATTGGATATGATTTCGATATAAGGAGAAAAATAAAAATTGAATTTAAACCATTCAGGTGTCCTTATTTCCAGTTTGAGGACAAGGAGAATAGCACTAAATTTTAGGTTGAAGTATATAAATTTGAATTTAAGACATTAAACTGATACATTTTAGAAGATAAACTTTTATTACCTGGTGCAAAAAGGTATGTGTCAAAAAACTTATAACTTGTACAAAAACCCTGTACAAATTATAATTTGTACAAAATTACATCTTGGACACAACATATATACAACTCGTCTTAACATCAGCCCAACAATGTTAGATCTGTAAATTTGCTTTCGCAAATTTTTTGTTCTTCCCTCGCCGGGATTCGAACTCATGCTACTGAGATATCGTGACACACATATATATATATATATAATGTCTGAAACCACAACAAAAACTGGATGATTTTATCAAACAACGCCCACCAGTCAATTAAATTCACATAAGAAATTTCAGACTCTAAAATATCTTTCTTGGACACAACTACATCTATAAAAAGACCTCTACTGTAAACCTACAGATAAACATCAGTACCTTTCTCCCCAAAGCTTTCAACCACTGTACAAAAAGTATCCCGTACTGTCAAGCTCTCAGTCTGAGAGTGAAGCGGATTTGCTCCTCTGAGGAGGTTGTCACTAAACGGTTACAGGAACTTCGCGGATTTTTGAAATGGGACATAGATAAGGGGTTTGCGCGTGCTAACAATAACAGCCGCAATGACCTATTACAGTACAAATAGAAAAGGCGAGCGAAATAGTTCCGTTTGTTTTAACATACAATCCCGCCTTTACTAACCTCTCCCGTTTGATCCGTGCCAATTGGCAGATTATTGCCAAACATCCAAAATTATCCAAGATCTTTCCCAAACCTCCTGTCTTAGCTTTTAGGAGACCAGCAAGTCTGAAAGACTTATTTGTGAGAGCTGGTGTCTCTTCTAATTAAAGCTCTTCAACAGCAGGATGGTGCAAGTTGTGTGGTAACAGACGATGTCTGACTTGCCAACAAATAATGAACACTCAAACATTTACTTGCCACTCCACTGGGTCCGTATACACTATATATATTGCAATGTAACTTGCAAAACCCAGAATGTTTTATACCTTCACCTGGGCACGCCCACGCTGATCTCAAAAACCTTACCATCACTATCATAGACCACAACGAGAGTCGGTCAAGGGCCGACAGACTTGCTCGGGAAAGTTTTTGGATAAGGAAGTTAAGGACAGTTTCCCCAGAGGTCATTAATGAAAAACATAGAATGAGTCCCTACCATCACTTGTTTCCAGTAACTCAGGCTTCAGTACAGTACTTAGTTTTAAGGAATTTATTCCTCCTCCCAAACATCAATATTGAAAAGATTTACCAGCGTATTGATTCATGATAATTTGTATAACGATCAAGATTTCTATTACAGTGTGACTACCACATGTCAAGATAAGAACCATTTGACATCTTACTGATGAAGGATATTAGTTATCCGACATATTTAACATTTGTTCATGATTTTATTTTATTTTTGTGATGTTGTACTCTATTATATTTATTCTTTCCTCCTTCAACCCAAACAAACCACCAGAGGTTTAACATTCACTTATGTGCGTCAGCAAGTAGCTCATGTTTTTTACATTCTATTTGGGCAATGCATAAATAAAAAGAAAAACAAGAAGGTGAATTGCGAAATTTTACTTATTCAGAGTAAAACTTTGTTCTCATATAAAAATTAAAAATATATACATTATACATTTGTAAAACAAGATAATAATGAATGAAAGACATGAAACGATAATACAATAATACAGAATTTGCAGATTTAACACTGTTGTGCTGATATTTAGAGTAATTATGAATATAATATGTGTTTTCAGTCGTGATCCAATGGATGGATCTGTCGTAGAGTTGTTTCTTGTTTAGACGTACTTATAAATAAATATATATATATATATATATAAACTTAATATGTATTGGATCATCAAAATTGACAATACTACCACACTTTTTAGTGTTTTGTTTTCCATCTATTTATCGGTATTGTTACACAATCTTTTAGACTCATATATATATATATATATATATATATATATATATATATATATATATATATCTATTTACGACTATACAAATTTGATAGATGTTCAATGACAATTTACAGCAACTTATTGTCTAGATAATTAAAGTCACGCACGCTTCTATTGGTAAGCATATGAGTTTTAATATGAAAATAAGTAGATGTGGAATGATTGCAAAAACTATTTCACCAAAGTGTAAATTACATGTATGAAAGGGACAATAGATTCCGTACGACCTTGAACGATGATCACATCATAATCAGCAATGTTTAACAAGGAACAAATTCACACAATAGCAGTATAGAATTGAGTAAAGAACATTTTTCACCATATATGGTTATTACTTAAAGTCAGTTCCATGAATCAGAAGGAGTGTATAACTTATAATTCTAGAGGCCAAACAAAAGTCTAAAAAAATCTTTCGATTGGTCGATTTTGCTTTTCAAGAAGTACATAAAGCTTATACGATTAGAATAAAAAGTGTTACCTTGCTTCGATTTTTGTCTGACACCTGGTAAGTTGTTAGTATATGTAATAAGGTTAACGCGGTAAATTTAATTAATGGTTTTAACCTAAGAAACGTAATTTTTTCATATTTTTTTATGTCATTTTGATATTTTAACTTCATTAATTGAATTGTTATTTGAACTGTTTGGTAATGTAGAAAAATATGTAGGTAAGTAAAAATAAAATTAACGACTTTTCATTTATTTATGAAACCCCTTTTATTTGTTTAATTACATATTTTGACAACGTCTTCAAAGATTTTTTAAGCGGTCCCGGAAGCATCAACCCTTTTCCTGATTTAAACATTCTTGGCTTTCAAATACTCCGTTTTTAGTACTTGATAAAGATAAGTCAGAAAAACACTTTCGACGCACGACATTTATAAAGTCATGTTTTCATTTTATAAGACATGGGTAAGCAAGGGGACCATAATCGTCGAATCTAAAAGGGTAATCATCTGGCTGATCCGGATCCTCTTACAACCCCCAAACAAATTTTGACACCAAATATTGAGGTGAATAAGGCCGTAGTCGTTTGCACAGGGAACACACCTTTTGTTTATCTACTTAACACCGAAATTGCACCTATTCGTTAACCTTTTTACGGGTTAATTCAAAAACGGTGTTTCATTATCATGATAAAACTGCTTTGGACATCTCGATTGGTCCTTTACGAGGATATTTTACTCTGTGAGAGAAATCGAACTTCTGTATCGTTTCATTAAAAAAAAGTTGATTTCAATAGAATCATTCATAATAATACGATAATACAATACAATAATACAGAATACAATAGCTTGGCCTAGGAAGGGGTCAACTAAACCATAAACAAATATTGAAATGCTAAGTGTAACACCTGCAACATAAGCATTCAGAAATGAAGATGCTCACAACCTAAAATTGGTATATCTACTAAAATACATTTGTAATGGACCACAAATATAGATGAACATCTAACAAACATCAAAATGAACAAAAAAATCATGAGATGATGAAGGGGGTGGAGGGCGGGAAAATTTATAAAATCTAAAACAAAATATTGTTTACAAAATATCGATCAATAGATCATAAAGAATGTGTAATTAGATATATTGTGTAGAAACTGACCAATGGTCATCCAGCCAAAAGATCGTAATGCAGGGGTAAATATTATAAGACATAGGTAAGCAAGACGACCCTAATCGTCGAATTTAATAGGGTAATCATCTGGCTGATCCGGATCCTCTTACTACCCCAAACAAATTTTGACACCAAATATTGAGGTGATTAAGGCCGTAGTCGTTTGCACAGGGAACACACCCTTTGTTTATCAACTTAACACCGAAATTGCAGCTATTAGTTAATCTTTTTACAGGATAATTCAAAAACGGTGTTTCATTATCATGATAAAACTGCTTGGGACATCTCGATTGGTCCTTTACGAGGATATTTTACTCTGTGAGAGAAATCGAAATGTTGTATGTATTAATGGAATCAGTAAAGTCAAGAAATAAGGAAATTTAACTCAAACCTTGAAAAAAATCAAGTCTGTTAAAATATGACTCGATTGCATCTATTTCATTGTAGAGAGATGCCATTGAACCTGGACAGCCTCATTAGATCAGTGCTTTTCATATATCTGTTTTTGCTTTCATATAGTAACAAGCCCTCCCTCTTATAAATACACTTATTCAAACCTTCTACAAAACTTAAATCAAATAATTAAGTACATGTGTATTAATGATTTATGAAAAGATGAATTTTTGAGCCATTTCAAACTTAAGATAACACCTAAACGTTTCGGTAAACAGTAGGTAAATTAGCCATGGATGTAAAAATTCATTATACGTTATAGCATACTCACATTGACCTTGATACAAAAACCCTTGATTTGCAGTTCTCCAAAATCATGGTCATTATGGCATAAATAGGTAAATATTTGGCAAACAAGAAGCTGATAACCGATGAATCCCATGGTATAGCATGCTTACTTGACGCTTGCTAAAATATTTCTTAAAACTCTGATATTTGGTCCCTGAGAAAAATCTGACGAAAATATCATCGAGCGGACGCTTATACGGACCAGTTTATATCCACCTAGTGAATAGGGGTATTACTAAAAGAAAGGTTATTACTATTTAAACACCAATATACCCTCAAAATAATAAAGATTATTGTAAGTCAGTAACTAATTTAATTTTTGTCAAGTGATACAGTTTGGCTATGGTTTGACTTCGATGTATTTTTTACGATATATAATTGCAATACATGTCATGCTTGATAGCACTCATGAACTGATTCTATTAAATCAAATCTCGATATTTAGCCAATGTGCTACGAATGATGATACCGTCAGTTTTATTTCATAAATGAACAAAAAAAACGGTGTTATTTTATCTATGACATAATGATAATTGATACTAAGATAAGTAATAACATTCTTACATATTTTAGATATTTTGTTTCATGATCACTAGCTGTACATTGTATTTATATTCTTTTTTCCTATCGCATGTTTCATTTTTTAAATTTAAAAGAGATAACACTGCGGTAATTGGTGAGAATTATTTTATTTTGTTGTAATTTTTCACAGTTCTATTTTGTTAAATATATTTTTCAAATATTAGTACATTAATATTTGTACCTGCACTAAAATGTATGGCATTGTTTGGACTTACTCATGAATATGTCTAGTTTGTCTTTAATTATACTCCATTTTAGTTTTATTAGCTTTTCTGCTATTGGATTTTTAGATATTTTGGCATTGCGATTCACTAATGAGACATTTATAGTCGTAATGAGAATGTGGTGCAGAAATATTTGTACCGTTGAAGTTATCATACCACAATATTATATAATAATTATTAATAGAATGATATATTGCATTAATATATGACCTTCTTTTTATTTATTAAATTATGTGACACTGAGTTTTAATTCGCTAAATAGAAATTGTGTTTATTTTGGTCTCAAACCTATAGAATCACTAGAAAGGTTGTATTCCAACAAACTACATTGTTTCCTTTTATGTTGCTTTGTTTTATATGGTTATCTATATCACATAGTACAAGTTTTGAAATATAAAAAATAATTATTAAAGAAATTTTAAAACTCAGCAAAGATTCTAAGATTATAATTTGGTACACCAGACGCGCCTTTCCTCTTCATAGGAATCATCAGTAATTGTAAAGAAGTGAAATTTTCACTTCTGAGTTCTTTTAGTAAGGGGGACAATCAAATAGATCTGTCAATTGGGCGTCAAACAAAACTAAATAAAAATTTGCATTTAATAATACCACAACCACAAGACAAACACAAAACATAAATATACACATATGAAACAACCTCTCCACGACCTCTCTTCTATCTCACATAGACAATGACAAATACACGGAACTAAATACACTTAACTAAAAGTTAAAATTAAAAGTAAATAAATAAATTAGTCCATCACAGTCCATAAATCACAAGTCTATATCAATCCAGAAATCTCAAAGGTTGTTCTCGTTTGATCCGAATTACTATACTGTTCAAATTTACTGTCTGTCAACTTGACAAATATTGAAAAACCAATACTTTGACAACATAACGTTAAATACTTCAGTCTCTGGGACAAACTGTCAAACAAGTTTCTGCTATGTTTTAAATTGTAATTGTCCCGAAACAAATTCACTGACGGACTATTTAACCACACAGATATTCAGGTTGTTGTAATACTTAATACTTGAAAACTATCTGTTCCATTTAAACTATCAAATGTTAACCATACACACAGTATATATTTATCCTCATCTGAGATTCAACTTTATATATAGGAAATTGTCTCATTTTACTTATCACTCCTTTCTTTTAATGATCTAAAATACTTCCATAACTCAACAAGTCCCCTGGGAAAGAAACAAAACACAATTTTAAATAACGGACCGATTTAATCCCGAATAAACATAATTATTTGACAACCGTGCGCGCCATAATTACAATATGACAAACAAAATTTGATATCTCGTGCAAATATTTGAAACAGAAGACATAAGGGCGGGGCATGGTGTGTTTGTGTGACAAAACCTACCTGGGAGTTCTTTATTGTCCTGATGGACAAAATATTAATGAATTCTCCTGAACTGATCATTCCTGATATAATATCTGCCCTGACAATAGTCAAACTCCAACTCCAAGTTCCAGTCAGTTTTCAACATCTGACTTCAACACTGTCCAGGTGTTATACTGACAACACCTTATCTCAAGACTAGTGTTTCTAAATTAACCTGCCTAACCAGTTTCTCACCTTCACATTACCTGTTTGTCAAACTTGATTACTTTTGTTCTATTTATAAATCACTAAGATTTAAATCCAGGTAACACTCAAAGAAGGATAACTCAAAAACTTTACAATCCTCCCCTCTAAGGAGACAAAATAACATTTTTGTCCAACCCAAACACTCTCTCATACCCGATACAAAATAACCTACCTGTCTACATCATTTAGACAGAATCTTATAACTGCCAAGAACAACATGCATAAACATATATACAACTATACACACTACCTGGAGTATTTCAGGGGACTTCTATTCCGCCAACCTGGACAACGCATCTGCCACAATGTTCAACTTACCAGGCACATAGGAAATTCTAAATTTTAATTCCTGTAGTGTCAGACTCCAACATAATAATCGCTGATTACTCATCTTCATTCTTACCTTTTTACGTACCTTTCTTTTCAGTGCAATCATAACTTAAATGTCCTTGTTTATGACAAATGTAACAAGTTTTAGGTTTACTGAAATCCTTACCCTTTCCTAGGTCCTTCTGTAAGCCTCTGGTTTGACCACCATTATTACCTGATTAAGGTTTCATCTTGAAAGCACCATCTGATACAAGACTCTCAATCTTGTGAGCCACTTGATAGGATTCAGCTAAATCAACAACTTCATGAGCAGATTTAGGCTTGTGTTCATTAACCCAAAGCCTTAAATCCGTACTACAATTTTGGAGTAATTGCTCACGCAACATCAAATCTAATAGTTTTTCATGACTGTTATCAACAACCTCACGTTCACACCAATGTTCTAAATACCTTTCTAACTTAACCCTGAATTCTCTAAATGACTCGTCTTTTTCCTGAATAGCAGACCTAAATTTTTCCCTGTAGGCTTCTGCAGTTAACTCATACCTTTTTAGAATTGCATCTTTAATCTTGTCATAATTACCACCATCAGCATCACTTAAACAAGAGTATGCCTCTAATGCCTTACCACTCAATAATGGCACAATACGAACTGGCCATTCAGACTTTGCCCATTTATGCAAGGCTGCTAGTTTCTCAAAAGACTTCAAAAAAACATCTGGGTCTTGACCTTCAATGAATTTTGGTAACTTACTATATTTCTGATCTCCTTTGCTAGTAACAGGTGCTGCAACACCTAAAGCTTGTTGCACCGCTATCTCTTTTTCCTTAATCTCAAGTTCACGCATGCGTATTTCTCTTTCCATCTCTGCACGTTTCAAATCACGATCTGCTGCACGTTCTTCGCGCTCCGTCGCTTGTATTTCCTTCCACAGGGTCAGACAATCTGTAACAGACCCCCTTTTTTCTACTAACTCGGACATCCATTTAGGCATGTCCATGACAAAGTTGAATTTCAGTCAACTAGTATAAACCCTACTGACAGATCCCACCGTGGATGCCAAATGTAAAGAAGTGAAATTTTCACTTCTGAGTTCTTTTAGTAAGGGGGACAATCAAATAGATCTGTCAATTGGGCGTCAAACAAAACTAAATAAAAATTTGCATTTAATAATACCACAACCACAAGACAAACACAAAACATAAATATACACATATGAAACAACCTCTCCACGACCTCTCTTCTATCTCACATAGACAATGACAAATACACGGAACTAAATACACTTAACTAAAAGTTAAAATTAAAAGTAAATAAATAAATTAGTCCATCACAGTCCATAAATCACAAGTCTATATCAATCCAGAAATCTCAAAGGTTGTTCTCGTTTGATCCGAATTACTATACTGTTCAAATTTACTGTCTGTCAACTTGACAAATATTGAAAAACCAATACTTTGACAACATAACGTTAAATACTTCAGTCTCTGGGACAAACTGTCAAACAAGTTTCTGCTATGTTTTAAATTGTAATTGTCCCGAAACAAATTCACTGACGGACTATTTAACCACACAGATATTCAGGTTGTTGTAATACTTAATACTTGAAAACTATCTGTTCCATTTAAACTATCAAATGTTAACCATACACACAGTATATATTTATCCTCATCTGAGATTCAACTTTATATATAGGAAATTGTCTCATTTTACTTATCACTCCTTTCTTTTAATGATCTAAAATACTTCCATAACTCAACAAGTCCCCTGGGAAAGAAACAAAACACAATTTTAAATAACGGACCGATTTAATCCCGAATAAACATAATTACTTGACAACCGTGCGCGCCATAATTACAATATGACAAACAAAATTTGATATCTCGTGCAAATATTTGAAACAGAAGACATAAGGGCGGGGCATGGTGTGTTTGTGTGACAAAACCTACCTGGGAGTTCTTTATTGTCCTGATGGACAAAATATTAATGAATTCTCCTGAACTGATCATTCCTGATATAATATCTGCCCTGACAATAGTCAAACTCCAACTCCAAGTTCCAGTCAGTTTTCAACATCTGACTTCAACACTGTCCAGGTGTTATACTGACAACACCTTATCTCAAGACTAGTGTTTCTAAATTAACCTGCCTAACCAGTTTCTCACCTTCACATTACCTGTTTGTCAAACTTGATTACTTTTGTTCTATTTATAAATCACTAAGATTTAAATCCAGGTAACACTCAAAGAAGGATAACTCAAAAACTTTACAGTAATGCTCGAACCAAAACAGTTGACTGGCCAAATCAAATAGAAAGTTGAGGAGCATTAAAAACCGAAAATTCCAAAAAGTTGTGACAATTGCGGCTAATGCAATCTATGTCTAGGGTAGAAAAGCCACAGTGTTTCGAATTATTTAACATTTTATGAACATCAATTGTTGACAATGAGGGTTTACCTATAGAATGGTGATACTCTTGTTGACGAAACAGTGACTTAGTTACCTTCGGGAACGTAAACGTAGGTTCCACACCAAAATATACGTCAAATACCCTATTCTTATTTTATATTTTATTTTTTTTGTGTTTTGCTATAAACATACTTATCAGGACCGAGAGTGCTCTGGTGTATTATCATTCGGATACACACACAAAACGATATCGGCAAGGCACAATCAAAATTAAAAATCTTATGTGAGAGACACATGAGTTTGTGCCATTTTTGTTACCATTCAAATACGTACTGTGAAAGATATACTTCATTTCTATCATTTGTAAGTGTTAAGTCATTATTTAAAATTTTAACGTCATGCTGTTTCAATTTCTAAATTACAAATTAACACCCGAACAGTTGTATCAATGACATCATGATAAAAACATTAACGGTACCAACTTTTACTGCCCCATATACGCATTTTGAAAATACAGGTCTATTCAGTGATGATTGAAGCCAAACTATTTCAAAATCATTCACCTTATTTAAACATTAGATTCCTAATATAGCCAAAAATGGAACACAAGTAGATCCAAACGCGACCAAGGAATATGACTTTTTTAATTCTAAAATGATTTTCTTGGATTTATAACACCCGATTTCAATAAACTAAATCCGTATATTTATAATGGACTGGTGATTCCACTGTGATTAACAGTCCTCCAGCAGAGGTATCGACCATAATTGATAATATTGATTAAATTCATCTTCATGCTTTCAATACATAATTGTGTTCATGATCATGCTCCGTATGTTATAGTTGTATTCTTCTATAAGGGTTAACACAGATCCAACTATATAAACAAATAAGAAAACAATGCGTATAAATTAGTTTTGATTCAGTATTACGTTGCTATATTGCTGCTGTATGTGCATTGATATTTCACTTTTATTCTACAATTGATGGCTATAGGATACTTATTGGCTAGTTTTTTTAAACTGTAGGAAAATGAGATTTTAAAAAATTATTACAGGGTCGATAACGGTGCTGTGGAATCAGATTCTGGGAGAAATCTCTGTCCAAAAGAAATTAAAACAATGAATAAGTTAATATCTAGATAATTATTCGTAATAGTGAACTTTTAACATATAAGAAGATAAATTCCAGCCATATTACAAATTCCAATTTCAATTAATCATTTACGACATTTTCAGAATGGAAGAAGTAGAATCTTGTGCTGGATGTCTTCGTTTTGATGACAAAAAAGATGCAAAGTTTTGGTGTGTGAATTGTAGCGAATTTGTCTGCAATTCCTGTGCTAAATCGCATAAAAAATTACCAACACCTCATGCCATCTTAGCAAAGGAACACTTATGCATCAGTTCAGATCTTCTAAGACTTGGAGGAAATTGTGAAACCCATCGCTCACAAAAATATGTTTTTTTTTTGCTGACAACATGATCAGCTTGCTTGTGACAAATGTAAGTCAGAATCACATCAAACCTGTTCATCTATCGTTTCCATTGAGAAAGCAGCTGAAAATGTCAGGGACGGAAGAGTTTTATCTGATTTAGAAAAGAGGATTGATAACCTTGGTGAAAGAATAGGGGTAATTCTAAAGAATAAAACAAATCCAATTGGACATGACACAAGGGTTAAAACCGAAATAAAGAAGACAGTTCATGATGTAAAGCAACAATTAGTACTTCACTTTGAAAAACTAGAGAACCAGTTGTGTGATGATATCGATATAATGGTCCCAAAATATGGCCAATCAGAGTCCAGAGATCTGAAAAAATTACAAAAAACGCTTAAAACGGTGGATGGTTGGAAAAAAGATCTAAAATCTCTGAAAAAAATCACGTCTGAAACCTATCTTTTCCAAGTCATCAAATTTATCGATAAAGAGGTTCATAATCAAACATCGGAAGTCGTAAAGTGTACAGCAAACAAACAAATATTAACATTTAAACCTTCAAAAGCGGTATTGAACTATCAGACAGTATTTCCATCACTAGGAAAATTAGCAATTAAACCATTGCTAAATACAACGACAATGGACCCAGAGAGAAAACAACAAGCCCAAGTCCCTTTGCGTATCCCTAGGAAAAGACTTACTTTTGTTCGCTCATTCAAATCAACCGACTTGAACATAAACGATAGATTATCCAGCGGATGTTTCATGTCAGCGAATAAGCTACTACTAAAGACGCAATTAGGACTTGTCCTTTACATTTGTAATCTAGACAGATCCGATTCAAAACAAATTAGGTTAAGTTGCCAGCCAGAATGTATTGCGAAGTTAGACAATAACCGAGCTTTGGTTTCATCCGTTGAAAATTACATACAGGTCATTAATATTTCAAGTAGAAAACCAGAAACAAAAATCATGATTAAGGGAAAACATTGCACAGATATGTGCAGCCTAGATGAAAAGATCTGGGTAAGAAGCGATCATAATACCCTCATAGCAGTTGATATCGATGGAAACGAATTGACCAAGATAATAACATTATTTGACCCCAATGATATTTGCGTACATCGATCTGGAGATCTTTATTTCATTTCAGAAAGAAATGCTATATATGCAATGGGTTCTGACGAAAAACCATATCGAATTTCCCGACTTCCAAGGCAACATAATCCCGATGGCGTCCATCTTTCGGGGTTGGTTGTAGTGGACGATGATTTATTTGTCGCAGAGATGACTGATAATAACATATATAAAATTTCAATTGATGACGGGAATCACGCGATAGTTCTAACAGAAGATGATGGTATCAAAGAACCGATCGGACTTTCTTACAATAGTGAAACAAAAGAGTTATTGGTCGTAAATAACCGTGGACTTTCTATTTACTTTTTTAAAGTAATATGACAATATCAAATGAAAGAGTTGTTTGAAACAACAGAATTGTCCCTTTTTCAGATAATTTTCACAAGTATACACCAATTGTGACTAATATTTTCCAGTTTATGAATATGATTCTATTTAGGCAACTTATTGGGAAATTTAAATAACTTCTTATGTAATTTGCAAAACAACGATCAAATTTAATTGTTATTTATCTTGTATATCATCCAATCCTTATTGTAAATTTCACTCTCTTGGTGTAGAGAATTGTATACAATACACGTTCCTCATTTTCTATGAAAAGTATTTCAAACATATTTACACTTTGACAGTTACTTGATACATTGTGTTAAAAATTCATGTTATGACCAAAAATGTCAATTGACCCCTTAAGGAGTTATTGCCCTTTATAGTAAATTTTTCGTAAATTTTTGTAATCCTTTACAAAAATCTTCTCCACTTAATCTACTGAGCCAAATAGAATTAAACTTAGCCACAATTTTCAATAGGGTATCTTGATTGAAAAATGTAACCGATGACCCTGTCATCCAACCAACATGGCCGCCATGGCTCAGAATAGAACATAGTGGTTTACTATAGAAGTCTAAGGTAAAATTGTAAAATAAAACAATTTCAAATGGTCACAACTAGAAAACTAATTTAAATAATGATAAAGGGTCTTCAGTAACTATTGTTAGACTATAATGGGATGACATGCTTTTAATTTAACTACTGGGCCAAATTAAACCAAACTTGGCCTCAATCATTATAAGGGTATGTTATACTATTTATTATGATTTTAACCTTACATTTTAAACTTTACATGATTTCCAAAAACACAGTAGATACAGGTGAGCGACACAAGTTCTTGTGAGCCTCTAGTTATATATATCCATTACTTTGATATCATATATTTCATGTAGGGTTTTTTTTTTCTTTGAAAAATACAACTGCAATATGTGCAGATATTTTTACTGATCTTGTTTTATAAATAAACATAAACAGTCAGTCATTCGGTGAAATAACTATCTTCGTGAATAAAGCATAATCTGAGAAGTTCTGTGTGTAAACAAGAGATAAAAAAAGATGAGAAATCGAGCGCATATAAGAGTCGGCGGAATTGACGACGTTTTTTTAATATTGTTAAAAATGTTGAAACTATATTATTACATTGTTATTTTACTCATATTTGGGGATATGTAAAATATATAATATCCTAAGTTAAAACATATAAAAAGGGGAATTACATTTTGTAAACATGTTTGATAAATAAATAATATGTATTTTTGGATTTAATTATTTTTTTAAGTTACGTTGTTTAACTTTGGCAAACTCTCTTGGTCATAAAATTTTTCAAAGAATGCTAACAACCATTTGGAACAGATTACACGTGCCTTGAAGGAAATGTTTTGTCAGCGTATTGAATTATAGTTCATTATCTAAATCAGCATTCAACTTTCCCCCTCCCGTTATTAATTTAGAAAATTGGAGTAGAAACTAACAAAACAGTAGACTGTCAATCCACCATCTACAGTGGATGAATTGAAACTTGAGTACGTTTTCGCATTTGAAAAAAAAATATTCACAAAAGTTACCAGGCTGTAATGCTATATACCAAACGAAGAATTTTTGAATTACGAGTTGCCTTAATACTACAATATTTATGCTATCCTCCGCCTTTTTGCGATGTGTCGATATAGTTTCTTGATGTCATTACGGCAAATATTCGTAATACTTGGGCATAATGCATTGTAATGGGCCTCATGGCCGAGTGATCAAAGAAATCGAACTACTGTATCACTAGCCAGTCAACACTGAGGTTGTGAGTTCGAATCCCGCAGATGGCAGGTGGGCTCGGCACCAATCTTAATTGACTATGATTGTCAGTTTTCCTACGGAAGGTCGTGGTTCTCTCCTGACACTCCGGCTTCCTCCACCAATTAAAACTGACCGTCATGAAGTAGCACAATAGTGCTGAAAGTGGCGAAACACCAATCAAAAAAATTATACGGGGTAAATACAGTACCCTGTTGGGAAACATTCGCTTTGTAGTTTGCAGTGATTTTCGCATTAATTCTTACCCTGACCCCCAACCTTACCATGCAATACTTTTATTAGGAATTAACGAAACTTAAAGATATCATGTAGCATTAAGTTATAAAAAAATGGGTATAAAACACACACAAAACACGGTACAAATTCGATTAATCAAGTATTATTACATTGCTTGCAATGAATTATCGTGATTTCTCAGTGAAATAAAATCAATAATTTTACATGTGAAATAAACTCGGTTATTTCACTCCTCTGACGTCATACAACAATAGGTGTTGTCAAGACGTTGTCGATGACGTTGCATAAAAGCAATTGTGAATGAGTAGACAAAGATATACAGTTGGAAAGCAGGTCACGGTTTGACCCCAAGTCTATCAGCAACAATAGAGTCACGTGACCGTGAAAATTCAGCAAAACTACGCATGAAACAAATCTCATTTTTACTCACTAAAACACCACTGTCATGATAAAAACTTATTGATCAAAATAATCTTGAATATAAATAGTTTTAACTCGTCAAAACTTACGCATCAACTAAAAGTCCTTTTTTTCTTCATTTCATCTTCAAACATGAAGTTTGTGTGAAAATTGTAAAGTCTCCTGATCGAAAAATCTAAATATTTTCGAGGAAACTAAAAATGATGGGCTGAATTTAAATCTAATAAAGCATCTCATTAAGACAAACACTCGATATGAATATCTAGGCAATAGAGTTTTGGATACGCAAACGTCAAGTTATTTTCAACTCGAGGCGGTGGTTTTTTGTCCTATTTGTGCAAGTAGTTATCTCCCCTTGATATCAGCGGTCAAAAATAAAAACCCAGCAAAATGAATAAAAAGGAGTTTACTTTACAAAAATAAAGAAGAAACTAAAAGAAATTTGATTTACAACTATATTATTATAATATTAAGAAGAGATACTTCCCTACTTTTCAGAGAAGTGTAATGGTGGTCACTTTGTTTACTTGTTATTTGTTCTATTTATTTGGGGAAATTGGTTAATGTTAGTATTATTTATAGTTCCGTAACTCTTTCTTCCGAGACCGGCCATGTAATTATTCTTGTCGGGACTTCCTGCTTCTTGCACGTGATTGACTTCCGGCCTGGCCGGGCTCGTTGTCTCTAGGAACTATAAGTATGACGTCACTCACCGGGTTCAGGGCAGTTTACACTTAGGATTTGAAATGAGCAGACGCTCATACCGTTTGGATTGCACATATGGAACTTTAAAATGACAAGTAGACTAGCCACCACTGTATATTTATTATATGTAAATTATATCCAACCATATATGTCTTTTAAATAAACATCTTTATGTTTACGTGGATTTATAGTTTGTCTAATATCCCAGAACTTGGGTAGACAACGGGAAAACGAAGCCAGTGGAAACTCCACTCCCGTTACATTGGGGGCTCGTCCGGGATATATTTTAGGACAATAATCAAAACAAACGTATTGTTTGTACATTATTTCTGCAATATGGCTGGAATAAAAGGGATTTTTGTATCCCTAGGAGTCAAAATCGAACAGTTTATTGTTCGTCTTCTTATCATTTCCGTTGTTTGTGCCGGTCCTACAATGACCAGTACTGAATAAAATATTGGTTTGTACAATAATATAATAAAAGGTGGCTTACCTTCAGAAATTGAAATTAGAAATCCACCAGGGAAACTTAAATTTGGACCACAAAGTAAACCTTTTGTTCACGTTCCAAAGAACAAATGGTAAAAATGCAGTTCTTGTATAGCAGGAAAAACAAACAAATCATGTTTGTACTCATGTACACAGCATCAAAATTAAAAATATAGCTGTATTTGACTGTAATTTAAAGCAAAGTATGGCTTTTCAATTTTCCGGAAGTCCGCGATTTATCACGCCATGTTTACAAAATGACGTCATATTTTTGACGTCAAAACACATGACATCTAAGGAATGTGTGTATGGAGGTACCAATAGGGAATACTCATTGTCGTTCTAATTATGAAAAAACTGTTTTATTTCTTAGTTCCGTTTAATTGGTACGTTTTTATGTTTATTGTCATAATTGGATTTGGAAAGTCAAATAAATTGTTTGATTATACTTGAAATTGTTTTTGATTAAAAAGTACATTTTGTACTTGCATTTCTGTCACTTTTGTCTGCATCTATGTCTTGTCAGTGTGGATGTTATAGCAATTATTTAGTTTTCTTGCATGGAAAGGAGGGAATTAACAATACACAAAACTTCAAAGTTATATCGTTTGTAAAAGGCTATATTGTGCCATCATGGATTATATTCTGCAAAATTTGTTCGGTTTATATTAATCTTAAAAAAACGGATTAAAAGTACAGTTTTGTACTAGAATATGTTTTATATAACATCATCATGATGATCATTTTTACTTTGGTCTTTTGGAAATAGACTGAATTAATTTCAGTTTGGTGGGGTTGTTACTTGGAGGGAAAATAATACTGAATATTTTCAGTCGTTAAGCGATACGTTAATAAATGTAGAAATTAATTGTGGATGTTGCCAGAATTTGGATTAAAATGACATTTGTTGTCATTCAGCTGGAATAGGGTTGTCTTGTACGAGTAGTGCTGGATTATTGCTAAATAGAAGAAAGTACACTCAGTATGTTAGCTGTGGGAAGATGCTTTCGGTGGTACATACAGGCAAATTTGGAAATACCTTATGTGCTAGAGAATGGCACTAGGATGGGTATGGACTATTGGTTAGTCTTGTTGCGTATGTATTTTTACTACCTAGTTATTGGTTCACCATGGGTATGCTGTCTGCATGGTTAAGGATATTGTTTTGGGATTACTGGAATACAAGGGATGATTTATTATATAGTCTAATTGTTTTATATGACTAACTAATTTTTGAAAATATTTGATAAACAAACAATCAGTTTGTATGGATTCCAGTAGAGAAATGTGTGTTCTATATGTTTATATTAATTCCTTGGGCTATATGCTTTCGGAGACGTTTACAAATACGTATTGGGGCACCCGATCAAGTGGTGCAATGCTTGTGTATTTAGACTACTGTAAATTCAGAAATTATTGCGAGGTTTTTATTATTGCGAAAAATGCGACAGAGTTGTAAACGCAATAATTTAAACTCGCATTTTGAAATATTTTATTTGAATTAAACAGGATTTTTCTCAAAACCGAAAAAATTAAAATCGCATTTCAGTCTAAAATGATAAAATCGCAATAATAAATGCACGCAATAATTTCTGAATTTACAGTATTATAGACTCTTGGTGAGTCAGGATTTTATAAGAAGAATGTGCTTCTTAAGTATTCCAGTGTCTGACAGAATATGGGAGATAAAACTGAAATTGTTTCAGTGCGTGGATAGCTGGCCACAATGAGGGAACATTGAAATTTATATTGGCCTTTTTGCCGATAACTTTGAACGTAACTAAACCACATAGAATTAAATGTTGGGGAACACTTACTTGGACTACTTTACAGATTTGGAAAATCTACTGGACGACTTTTACCATATTTACCTTCCTGGAACCTTGGACAATATGTGTACCTGGATGCTTCGCTCGAGCTTTAAAATTGGATTCCTTACTCCGTGATGATGTCTCGTGATGTATTTGTGACTTTTGAACATTTAGTTAAAGACCGTTGAATATCTTGAACTATTTTTCAAATTATTTATTGACATTAACAGTAAATTAATTTGTTGATAACTATATGTGTCTGTATTTGGAATTTCGGTAAGTATACCTGACCGATCTTAGGACTAATGTGTGGGCACATTATGTCTTAAGAGAGGGGGAGTGTTATGGTGGTCACTTTGTTTACCTGTTATTTATTCTATTTATTTGGGGAAATTGGTTAATGTAAGTTTTATTTATAGTTCCGTAACTCTTTCTTCCGAGACCGGCCATGTAATTATTCTTGTCGGGACTTCCTGCTTCTTGCACGTGCCTGACTTCCGGCCCGGCCGGGCTCGTTGTCCCTATAAACTATAAGTATGACGTCACTCACCGGGTTCAGGGCAGTCTACACTTAGGATTTGAAATGAGCAGACGCTCATACCGTTTGGCTTGCACATATGGAACTTTAAAATGACACGTAGACTAGCCACCACTGCATATTATTATATGTAAATTATATCCAACCATATATGTCTTTTAAATAAACATCTTTATGTTTACGTGGATTTATAGTTTGTCTAATATCCCAGAACTTGGGTAGACAACGGGAAAACGAAGCCAGTGGAAACTCCAC